TACACCTCTGACCTACTGCTCACCTCCTAATAAATCCCACCTAATAAAAACTGCATATTGAATGTAATGCAATAGTAAACTAGTCCAGATGCCACCAGTTCCATGTTTGATTCCCTAATATTATGTAGCGATCTGGGATGCATCATCTTTCCTACATCCGCAGGTCCTGCTTACTCAAGATATGCATTCTAGCATTCTTTTGTTATTATCATTGGGCTTTTGGGTTCAGCATTGTAGGATATTTTCCCATTTCTGTAACTTACTTACAATTGAATTACATTCATTGTATCTGCAGTGTTATGCACATAAGGTATATTATTCTTGTGACCCAGGTCTGTTCAACTCAGGGCTCAGTATAAGTTGTCACTTTTATTTATTTATAAGGGAATTATGTTATGACATTTGGAGCTTTATGGTATTTTTAAAAAGTTTTTATGTTCTGGGCTTCATTGGAGGGATGCTAAAATATTTACAGTGATTTTGTATTGTTGTAACAACGATTTTTTCAAAATCAATCTATTATGATGTGTTTCATGCTTTAACTTTGGTGACATCACCAGCTGATGTAGAGTTCAGATTTAAATAAATATTCACAATGGAGTTATAGAATATATACCAAAATATTCAGCATTTAAGGGGTTACGCGTCTCAGGCTCATAGCAAAAAGGTTCATAGTAAATGGCTACCATCCAATGTTTACTTCTATACAATATAGCAGAGACTTTAGGGGTGTAGTGGACTCTGATGTCTCCATAAAGAGAACCTGTCACCTTCCAATGCTATGACATGGGGGCTAGCAATAAAGTTACATGAAAAAAAGTAAAAATCATATGTTAGGTTTTGAATGTTTGAGTAAGAACAATAATTCTAGGGCCTTAATTCGCTTAGTCTATGGACAATTTTGAGTAAAATAGATTTTCACCACTGCATGGGCACGTACAATTTTAGGGTTTCACATGTTTGGTATTCCCATCCCATCTTTTATATTTCAAAATTGATTTTAGTGTATTTTGTCTATCAATTTAATAAACATTTGCACAAATATTATGCAACATAAAAAATTGCAGCTACCATTTTTATTCTATGTGACCTCTGCGTTCAAAAAATATGTATTTTTTTCTGGATTTAAAGTAATTTTCTATCCAAAAATTTGGATTTTAACATGTCTGTAAAAAATGAAAAAATATTGCTCTGGTCCGAAAGTGGTTGTGCATAGTCTGGGCACAGGTTCAATTTAGGATAGTGTCATCAAAGAGCCAGCTAAACTCAGCCAGTGTTTTAGGTATCTATACATCATTGCCCTTACGTCTTTAGACCTTTACACCAGCCTAAATAATGCATCTTCAAATTTGACTTGCAAATTTTTTTTTTTTAAACAGAGGACATTCCTGCCCAAGTGACTTTATCATCACATTTTATTGACTGCTGTATCAAGAAATTTTGATTATGTGAAATGTTTAGTATATTTGTATCATAAGGGGATTAAATCTATATTCCAATTATAAGTGTTTTTAAAGAAATCTTTTCCATGAACACTATGGCCACAAGGAAGCAGGGACAGTTAGCAAAAGGCATACAGTATGAAACATTGCATAAAGACATATGTCAGGATCTTATGATAGTTTAACCTAATGCTGCAATGTACAAAAACAGACAACATACCTTAAGTGGTGCTAGACTGCGTTTTACACTACGCTTCAAGTAAAACTCCCAATAGTGTCGATGTAAACAACAAATTACACTGCGATGGCTATGTGTGCCTCTGCTAATTGTAGATGATTGACAGTAAAGCTGGCCATACAGTGTGTGTTTTTTTTCCACGCTAAACAACGTGAATGGGGAAATCCCTCCCACTGGGCCGCTGTCAGAAAACCCAAACAGTGCATGTTTGGCCAAGAATTTTAGGACCAGTTCCATCGACAAAGGTTGACTGAAAAATTTACTTTGATCAAAAGAAGGGGTGCCTACAGGGCCACACACTGTTCGAATGCCGGTGAAGTCAGCAAGACTCAGCCAAAAAATCGACCAGTGTATGGCCAGCTTACCTCCTGTTACAATGAGTTAACAAAACGTATATATTCAGATGCTACATTATATATGCTAATGGAAAGTTAAGATGGCCTTTCCCTAAACCATATGGTTACAGTGAGAACTGTGCTACTCTTCCAAAACCCTTGCATCCTATGCTAGCAAGTCCTCCTAAATGCCTTCATTGGACCTCCACAGTCTTGATATAAGTAATTTTGAGAGTGTAGTTCTGTTTTGCAGACCCCAGATAAATAAACAGATCTATGCCTATCCACTCAAATCTGTGAACTTTCATAAATGCAAATGCAACAGTCTTGCATGAGCCTGTACTCTGTTACACACTTTCAAAGTAACTCTCCTGTCTAAAAAAGATACAACAAGATGTCTGCTATTATTTTGTGAGCTACAAAACATTACACGGTGTGCCTCTATGCGTTAGATTCCCTTCGTTACTGGGGACTGTTTTCTGACCTAATGCTTATGTCTTGCAAACTGCCATCCCACTGTCCAAGGAGACTGATTCAGTGGCTGGAAAGGAGAACATGACTGGACACACTATAGCTGGGGGAGCTAAGCCAGGCCATAAAAAGCTGGTCCCCAGAAACTAAATCCGAGGAGCACACAGAAAAGACTTTTCTGATAAATAAATGTAATGGCAGGCAATGGGCCCTGCTGTTAGTGCTGACTCAGACTGCTGGGAATGAAGCTGGATCAAAAAAATAAAATAAAAAAAAGACGTGAGAACACAGAATGCCAATATAACCAGCCCAGGCTTAACAAATGGACTTCTGGCAAAATAGCTTTTTACTCCATAGAGCTTGTGGAAATGGTTTTAGTTATTCTTAAAGAATAGACAGCCCCATACAAGGTGTAAAATTAAATCTGAAAGAGTTACAGAGACATCTGTAGACATTAAAAGCATTACTGAAAATTGTAAGACAACGTTCGTATAAATATATCACAACAGTACAGGACGCAACACATAGCTTTCCTCCATTATTTATGAAACACACCACAATCTTTCCTGAAAAGATCCCGGTGGTAAATAAATCAAATTCATGTCTACAATGGCTTTAGACTTGACAGTCATCGAACACTAAGTTCCTCAATCTGTTGCTGAGACGTATCACATACACATTGATTACAAAATGTTGATGGAAAATACACATGAAGCAACAGAGCCTAAAAAAGTTAGTACAAACGTATATATTAATATTCTAATACATCAAGACAAATATGATAGCCAAAGTGCATTAAAGGTACTCCAGCCGTACAAAACCTAAAACGAACCCATCATCGGCACACAGTAAAGCAGCCATTCAGAAGCCAAACCAATATTCATGTGACTGAAAGCTATAAATTGACCACAGTCTGGTGAGAAACTCTGGCCCTCGTTCATGAGGCTGGCTTCACATTACCCAATCTGCACTAGCAATGAAAATGATTTTCTCATAGCTAGTAACAATTGGGTTATGTGTGAGTTAGGTATGAGTGAGACCAAGTGCAAGGTCAATCAAAGAAATATTTCATAATGCTGGGACCCATTTTAATCATTCAGTTTTATAGGATCCTTTCAATGAGCATTTATCCAATTTAAGGAATAAGTATGCTTTAACACAAGCAGAATTAATCATATTCCCTACCCCAGCCTCTACACATTACCTTCTCGAGGAAGAACTCGTCCTGACTACTGGCAGGCCTGGGTGGGTCTGATTCATTGTTTACCAGCTCTATTTCTCTTTTCAGATTAAAACACATGTACAGAACTAAAAATATGGTGTGACTGTAGAGAATAACGGTCAGTCAGTTCACTCCCCACCATCACATTGGCACATGCTCATTATTCCATATGACCAGACCCCATCTTCAAGTGTATTCACCCTATTCTAAGGGGTGCCAGTAAATATTGTGCAACTCCAGCACAGTGTACAGGGTGCTTTCTCCTGTACAGGGGTAAACAGTTTTTTGCCATAGAGGCTGAGGAGGGGGTTTGTTACATTTCTATTTGCATTAAAGTGTACTTTTGACTGCTGTGAGTACAGAGCAACAAGAACAGCAGGACTGAGCGATCAGTTTGAGGATGGTAAGGCCTCAGAGTTCCTTATATGATCTGTCCAGCTGTGCTTGTCCTTAGTCATGTTTTGATTTTCAAGCAAGCTTATAGGGTGAATATTGGTAAGCGAACAAAATGGCTGCCTAAACAGTGTTTTGATGACAGCAGCCCTTTAAAGAAGCACTCTGGGAAAAATGACTCTTAACCCTTGCAATGGGGCTACCTCCGCACTGCAAGGCTTGAGTGCTCATTTTCGTTTAGGGTGTACAATAACAAACTTGTACTCATCTAAACCTTGCAGCTGGCTGGCTGTTGGAGCGCTCACTTTAGACTGTCCCACAGCATCCTCACGTCCAATACAGTGTATAGAACATGATGACTCAAGGATCATTAGACCGCTGGAGAGGAAGAGGCCCGAGGGACCTGTCTGACAACCAGCTGGCTGTGTGGTTCAAGCGAGTACAACTTTCTTTTATTTTGCACTTTAAACGAAAACGAGCACGTAACCCTTGCAGTATGGGTGTAGCCCTATTGCAAAGTTTAGGAATAATTTTTCACAGAGTTCTACTTTAATGATCATTCCTACTTACCTGAGTGATAGCAAAGAAAAAAAAAAAGGAAATCAGGCACCTTAGTAGTTAAGTCATACATAGCACTGACTTTGACATGATCAACCTTCCAGCTCAAATATAAGAAATGTAATTAGAGAAAAAAATGTAACAAAGTTTTTTGTCATTCCTCCTCAAACGAAGCGGTCAGATAAAAGCTTGACCTGTATAACAACAAGCAGCACAATCATTTCCCCCTTTCTCTCTCTGGTTTTGGCTATTCTGTTCCATTGCAATTAAAGTGATTTTAGTATTTAATTTTTGCATGTAAAAAATTATATTTCTAAGAGGTCAGAACCCTTCAAATAATTTCAGTGCCTGTGCACTTTATTTTCCCGATCACGCCGTTTCAGCTCTTCTTTGAAGCAGTAAGAACAGAAATTGTCAGTCTCAGGGCGTCCGTAGAAAGAGCAGTTCTCTTTCTTACACCTGCTCTGGTGGAGTGAGTATATAGGACAGCCTGTACTCCTGCCTCTGCTGTTTTTATCATTGTTCAACCACGTTTGAGGAGACTCCTCATCAGCGTACTCTAAGCAGTCTCTAATGTCAGTAGAGTTAAAACCATTTGTGTATGTTTGAGATTTATGATCTGTTGGTTTTTCATATGAAAGGGATTCCACGGTGTTCACTGTGCGGATGCCCGATAACCGAGCTGGGCTGTAGCTTTGAGAAGACAATGAACGATTCTGCTGGGGATATGTTGCGCACGTTTTTAAAGAGCCAACCACTGGCTTGTAAGGATCATCTTGGAAGCTTGATGACTTGGAGCTGACATCATGTAGATGGATAACACTTTGCCTTTGGACTGGTGGTGTATGGCTATAATGAGCAGATACTGGTATGGGACCGCTTTTCTTAGCACCATTGCTGGGTGAGGGATAGGAAGCAGGCGTGGGGCTAGATCGATCCTTTAATTTTAGAACTAGTGGTGTGGTATGGCTTTGAGGCAAGACTGGGGATGCCCTGTCCTGAGGAGATGTGTCCAGCTTTTCTTTGACAAATCCCTCCTGGTCTAGTTTCCTACAAGATGACCCATTTAGGACAGCTTTCTTTTCAGCTTCCTTCCTCTTCTGCTCCTGCTCAGCATTAAACCGTTCCTGGGCACTGGTCAAATAAAAACCAATCATCTCCTCATGAAACTGATGCCGGTGACTGGTAAGGAGGAGGCCTGCAAAGATAAACTTGCGCTCCCCTTGCATGGCAGCTCTCAATATATTAAGGCTGAGTTTAACATCTGTGCTATACTTCCAAGGGTCGGACTTATTATCTAATAGCGATTTATTTGTGAGTTTTTCAACGGGAGAGATGCTAGCTTTATCTGTGGGAGATGGAGTTGTTTTTTCTGAAGGTGATGTGCTAGCAGACTGACCGGATTCTTCTTTGCTTCCTTTTCGAGATTTTGACTTCTTGGATTTTTCAGTGGACTCTCCATTTTTTCCATTGCCTGAATTAGCTCTATTAATCTTTCCATGCACCAGGCCGCCAAGACCCCCCATGTTCTTCTTAAGCTTTATGCCTAATGTTTTGCTGAGACTTCCCAGTTTGTTTGCCACAGAATCAGTTCTATTTTTTTCCTTCTCCTTCCTTTGTTTTTCCTTTTCTTTCTCTTTCCCATTTTTGCCATTGTTGACATTGGAATTGCTACAGACCGACTCACGATCCGAGTCAACAGAGTCAGCCAGCGATTGTACGTCTTCTCCTGCAGATGCTGTTGGAGATTCTGGTTGGGCCAAAGGAGCCTACAATTACAGTAATAAAAAGATATTAGCATGGCCAAACACTGGCTAATTTTTCTTTCTTGACAGTATTAAACATTTATTTTATTTGGAATCTGAAGAAAGATGTAAATTGCCTAACTGAAGAAATCTAAATATTCACTGCACTGCCAAGTGGGGTATTGGAGCGCACCACTAACGGCACCATTGCCAGATTGTGGACCATTTCCATTGACAGAGAGACCATTTCCGTTGGAGAGAACCAGATTTTAAAAATCAACTCCTGAGCTGTCTCCTTGATTGGGTACCTGAGAGGTAAGGTGACCTACTGGTGGGTTCCTTTATAATATGAAAATGTGAGTACTTTTATTCTTTTAAGTGTTGTATGTCAATTCACCTGATTTTTTTTAGGAGTTCTAACAAGAAATAAATAAATAGTGCAATGCGCCGGCATTAGCACATCAGCACTGTGTCTGGGAACACACACCAGGAGCTGTGCATTGTAGTGCAGGTGCTGCTGTGAATGCAGCCTAAATGGACTTCCTGACGGACAAGGAGTGAGTGACCATTCTGTCTGGACCGTGATTTGGACCTCTGCTCTGTGAAAATTGTACTCACTGTACCTACTTGAATTTGAATTAACTACCCTTGCTGTACAGAGAATGAAGTTATTAAAACTCCACTTATACCCAAGAGCTTCAGTTTGCTGTAGTTTTAATAAAGATCCCAGAAAACCAGGGAGCCTTGGTATGTAAATACTGACCACCTCCTGCTCCCCTGCCGCACAGCATTATGATGGATAGACTTGCAGACCAATAATGAAGTGTGGAAGATGGAAGGCCAGAGCTGGCAATCATGGGAGGTGGTCTTTGAATTGATACCAAAGCACCCCAGTTGTATGGGGTTTCTGGAAACTCAACAGGAAATTTACGTATACGAGCAACAAACTGTTACATCTATTAGAATTATCACAACTTAGCACAGCAAGTCCAGTAGAAGATATGTAGTAAGAGACTCTGGAAGTCTACCTAAAGTCACCCATAGATATATAACTAAATCCAGGTGATGACTGTCAGATTGAAAAATATGTTATGTCTGTGTCACATCTGTTGGTCAACTAATTAGGGAACGAATCAATAGACCGGCTGGATTTTCTTGGTCAATCCTTACGTTACCCCGAAAGTAAAACAACAAGCCAACTGTTTCTATGTATTGAGAAAAAAAAAGAAAAAATGCCCTTACCTTGTCAATAAAATATACTAGAACATTGAAATACATCAAACTAATAAACAAACTATTTAAAAATGAAGGATCCTCTTTAAGAAGACTTATGGAAGGAACAGCAAAGGAACTTGTATTGGGAAAATAAATCAGTGGAGGTTTACCCGTGTCTCAGAGGGTATGCGTATCCAGGTTACATTCATGTAGCTGTGCAGAAGGTTCAGTTTAGCCTCCAGGGACAGAATCAAACTATTGAAAGAATAACAAAGAACCAGTAGGGAATATCATACAAATGACAGCATGGTATAAAACATTTAACATATAAAAAAAAAACTAAAAAAAAAACGTATAGCAAGATGTTGTAATAACAATGTTGCTGATTTATGAAGAGCAGACCGAAACCTGACAGGTTGCTATGGGCAACTGTCCCTATTTGCTAATTTTCATTATTTATGCAGAGACACTGATATGTATGTAAAAACAAAAATCAAAGGAATGTTTCAAATGTAATTTTTTTAAACTTTTAAATCGTTATTTAAAAAAAAAGAAAATCGGTATCTATATGTAAATTGTCATATCTGATATTGTATCTACATTGGCGGCACAAAAGAAAGCTTCTGATTTGTCCATCAGCCATTGTCCCCAAAGTCTACTCACGAACAGAATCACTTCTAGAATACAGTATATTCTTTCCCAACGGGCTCCTGAAAAATCTACCCTTAATTAGCCATTTCATTTGTAACATAACAGCACTTCATTATATAAATTAACCTTTAATTTTGCTTAACGGATACCTTACCTCTATATAAAATGGTACACTGCACAGAATACTAGTGATGAAATGTTTGGGGTTGGTTTCCTGCATGTGCATGCAGATATTGTAGAAATGCTCTTCAATCTTGACACATAATTGTGTTCACTCCCTCTGGGCCAGAAAATGATTGTGGCCAATGTTGGATTAATTTCCCAGTTCAATAAGTAACTGGGTGGTTGCAGTTATACTATAATTAACCATATGTGCATATTTCTTTCTGTCAGCAGTGTCTGTACAAAAGAATGGTTCATGCAATTGCTAATATTCTGCTCCTTGAAGCTTATCCTTGTATGTGATATTGATTAATATCAACAGTAAGTTGGCAGTGCCTGTGCACAAGTTTTTTGTTTTTGTTTAAAATAAATGAACAATGACCAATTACCTGGCCAGTTTAATGTTGTCATTATCATCCTTTCCCCATTCCCAGTCCTTTCCAGGATCAACAGCAAAGTGCAAAGGGAGAAGCCTGTGTTCAGAGTCTGTCAATGGAATAACCGCTGCAATTAACAAGAAAAAATAAAGATTTTTTTTTTAAAGCAAATATGACTTATTGTAAGAATATCAAGATATGTGACTCTATAACGCCATAAAACATGAATAATTCACCAGTTGCTTGAATAACAGTGATCTTGTATCCAAGGAGGGTTATCAAAGGTGAGTGTCACCCACCGGAGTTATTTGCTTTCTTTCTTGCAGGTAAAACGAAGCCAATTAAATGCAGTTTAAAGCAGACCTGTTAAGGGGAAACCTAAACTAATCTAACATAAATGCTGAGAATTCTTACCTAGCCCCGTCCCCCACGCCCACAATGCTTGGGCCTGGCTACATGTCACTTAGACTCTGAGCACTGCTTCAAGGAATGGGAACAAGGTGTATTTTTGGAGACTTCGGTGGCACTGTCAGAAGATCTCTCAACAAGAAATTAAAATAGGTTGGGTCACTCAACCCACTTGCATACAACCCACTTAATTTAATAATAAATAATATACTCGGCAAAGTACACGTCCTTTGGTGAATAAACTCCTAAGCCTATATTACTGGCAGCATTAACAGATGTAGAAAAATGAATTGGAGCTGAAACAAGGAGGCATATGGAACCCTCACAGTTACCAAGCTTCATTTTTGCATTTGCCCAGACATATTCTTTAGTAAAGTAAATCTTTATTTTTCTAAATCAGTATAAAGTAGCACCTGAAATGTAATGAAGGGTTCCTCAGCTGCCTACACATACCTTTACCCAGTGCCTCCAGAACTCAGCAAAGTTCCTTATGGTATAGGGCAACCTGGTTTGCTAATCTGGACTTTTGCTGAGAAAGCTGAGAGCAACTCCCTATTGGGTCCTTAAGTGATGGACACCTTCAATGAGTCACATGAGTTGGGGAGGCCTGCCCCTGGATTTTCTAGGCAAGAGGCTATCATATCAGAGCAGTATAGTTCTGGAGGATCAACAAACATATATTTAGACACCTGAGTGCACAAGCATTACATCCCAGATACTACTTTACACTGGTTTACAAAAATTAAGAGTTTCTCATGAGAAATTAATTTCAATAAATGCACCTTCAACTATAAAGAAAATCGGCTACATTATAATACACATAAAAATTATACAGTAATACCTTGGTTTACAAGTAACTTGGTTTGAGAGCTTTTTGCAAGACAAGCAAACATTTCTGAAAAAGTTTGCCTTGATATACAAGCAATGTCTTGCAATAAGAGCAAAATTTTGTAGAAAAGCGCCCCCCGAATAAGGCTGTAGCAGTGCGAGCGATGAGTCTGTTTAACGACAATGCAATGTCACATTGGATAGATTCCTTGTTAAGGTTTCACGAAATGAAAAAGATTCCATTGAGTCAAGAGATAACAGTGATTCCGTTAGTGATTCTGTTAGTGATAGTGAAAGTTGTCCTACACAATAATCCTCCTCTCTCTTGTCCCCCTCACACCAGCCACAAAGGTACCGGTAATTGGGTTGTTTTTCTTTATATTTTGTACAGTATTATATTACAGTACAGTATTGTAATGAGTTTTAAATGAATATTTTTGGGTTGTGGAACGAATCATCTGAATTTCCATTATTTCCTATGGGGAAGTTCGCTTTGATATACAAGCGCTTTGGATTACAAGCATGCTTCCGGAACGAATTATGCTCTTAAACCAAGGTATTACTGTATTTGCATTTTCATATTTAATATTATTTACATGACACATTTAATTTAGTTTACAAATAAAAATAGTGAAGAATGAAAATCCTGGTGTCCAACATACAGTCGGGCAAAAAAGTAGATGTAGCTTGCTTCACTCCTTAACGGAATTCTGTAATAACTACAGGTGGGTGCTTGTTGTGACCACGGTTGGCGCCGTGAACAGTATGCATATTCAAAGGATGTCACCAGCACACCAATCTATTTGTGTTCAGCAAATGTCCATTTTAATGACACAAATTGCCATTCAATTGTATGTACTTTCGGGGCCTCACAGGGTCCCCTTCATCAGGCTCATGGGCTTCAGAATGAGTCTTATTGTGTGACCCTCAGAAGCCCTGAAGAAAGTATTAAGTGTTTCCTTACCTAGGTGCTCACACAAGCCTGCGGAGCCAAATTGTTTAGACTGGATTCCAGCCGTTGAAAAGCTTGCTTTTTTTCTTTCATATTAACCACTTAAAGACCGGGGTGTTAAACCCCCTTCCTGTTCAGTCCATTTTTCAGTATTTAGTGCTGCGGTACTTTGACTGATATTTATTCACACATGCAAAGCTGTACTGAAACAGATCTTATACGTTTTTTTGGGGACAGATAGAGCTTTATTTTTGTGGTATTTAATCACCACTGGGGTTTTTAATTTTTTACTATATTAAATAAAAAAGTAAAAAAATTTAAAAAAAAACAAAAACTGTTTCCCTATATTAAATGATGAAACAGTTATTATTACCCAATTTTTTGGTAAAATATAAAAGACGTTGTCACGTCGGGTAAATAGACACCAACATGTCAAGCCTTAAAATTGTGCACACCCGCGAAACTACAATACCCCAAATTGGCCATAGGCGAAGCTTTAAAAGCTTTTATCGCTCATCACTTTAGTGTTATCAGTGATTAACGGCCCTAAAATTATTGCTCACACTCCAACATTCGTGGCGATATGTATCATGTGCAGCGCAATTGTCGGTTTCGAGCGTTGGTGCACCCAACGCGTAGTTACGTTTATATGTGCGTATACGTGGGGGACTTAAACATTTTTTTTTGTAACTCTTTTTTTCACTTAATGCTATTGCTACCACATAGCGGACTAACGATCCCCCTATGTGATAGCACAGGCACACTGACAGGTCCTCTTTATGGAGACATTAGGCGTCTCTAAGGCCCCTAATGTCACCTGGGGACCCACAAAGAAGCTGATGAAGCATAGATCTGCTTCACCAGCTTCTTCTGTGGCTAATTGCAGCCAAAGTAATGACAGCTGAATGCGGAAGTGATGTAAAACACATCACTTCCGCATTCAGACATTGGAGAGATCAGCAAGGAGGTAGATGCTGTACTCCCTCCCATCTTCCTGCTGACACCCGCAGGAGTCAGTCCCGGGCCCGCAGAAGGGACAGCGGAGCCCGGGATGGAAGGTGAGGGGGCTGGAGAGGAGGGGGGAGGGGGCGGCGCTGCAGGAGGGGGAGGCGCACATTGCAGGGCAGCACATACAAGCGATCGGACGGCTGTAGAGCCACCGATTACTTGCAGAAAAAAGCCCTATATTTACCGCACCCCGCTGATAGTAGCTTGCCTTTCGTCCGTTTTTTTTTTACAACGGGTGGACGGCAAGTGGTTAACTTACCTTTTTCTGTGCTGTCCATCACTTTTCTCTTTTTATGTCTTGTTCTCCTCCTATCTTTTATAATGTGATAAAGTGTGGCACAAATAATTTTTAAAAGGGTTGTAAGATGCACACATGTCAAAACATTAATATGTAAAGGAACTGTGATAGCAGATATCTCTAGCAGTCTCATGTAATGTGTCTCCAGTCCATAACTGTCTCCTGAAACATGTCCTTAGAACAACTCCTATAGCATTTTTGCAGTCTCTGACCATTTCCTGGAGTGTGCTAGCAGCCCCTGACCGTCTCTTGTTGTATGTCTGCAGTCTGACAGTTTTCTGTAGCATTACATTTAATGAATATTATGTGTTGCCCCATGGCGATGTCCAGGACCACATTCCAAGAAAATTGAACACCACTGTGTTAATCATAAAAACCTATACACTGATCAACTATAACATTATGACCACTGAGAGGGGAAGTGAAGAACATTGATTATCTCATTACAGTGGCATGAAGTCGGTGGGAAATATTAGTCAGCAAATCAACATTTTGTTCCTGAAGTTGATGTGTTGGAAGCCGAAAAAATGGGCAAACGTAAGGATTTGAGCGACTTTGACAAAGGCCAAATTATGATGGCTAGACGACTGGGTCAGAGAAACTGAAAAACTGCAGCTCCTCTGGGATGTTTCCGGTCTGCAGTGGTCAGGACCTACCAAAAGGTCCAAGGAAAGAAAATCAGTGAACGAGCAACAGGGTCATGGGCGGCCAAGGCTCACTGATGCATGTAGGGTGCGAAGGCTGGCCTGTGTAGTCCGATGCAATAGAAAAGCTACTGTAGCTCAATTTTCTGAAAAAGTTAAGGCTGGCACTGATAGAAAGACGTCTGAACACACAGTGCATCACAGTTTGCTGCTTATGGCACCATGTTGACCTGTGTCCACTGCCAAATTCACCTGCAATGGACACGTGAGCATCAGAACTGTACCACGGAGCAATGGAAGAAGGTAGCCTTGTCTGACGAATCATGTTTTCTTTTACATTATGTAGATGGCCGCGTGTGTGTCACTTACCTGGGGAAGAGATGGTACCAAGATGCACTATGGAAAGAAGGCAGAAACAGTGTGATGCTTTGGGCAATGATTTGCTGGTAAACCTCGAGTCCTGCCATTTATGTGCATGCTACTTTAACACGTACCAACTACCTAAATATTGCTGCTTACCAAGTATGCCCCTTCATGAAAACGGTATTCCCTGATGGCAGTGGCCTCTTTCAGCAGGATAATGTGCACTGCCACACTACAAAAATTGTTCAAGAATGGTTTGAGGAACACAACAATAAGTTAGAGGTGTTGACTTCAAATTCTCCAGATCTCATTTCAATTGAGTATCTGTGAGATGTGCTGGAAAAACAAGTCCAATCCATGGAGGCCGCACCTCACAACTTACAGGACTTAAATGATCTGCTACTGACCGCTTGGTGTCAGATACCACAGCATATCTTAAGAGGTCTAGTGGAGTCCATGCCTTGATGGGTCAGGGCTGTTTTGGTGGTCATAATGTTATGGCTGATCAGTGTATAATGTCACTTATGTTAAAACTTTTATCCTTTACTTAATACTAAAATTAGCGGTCTGAAAAATCTTGACTTTTGCTGCACTAATAAATATGTTCCATAAGATGGCAGCAGAGG